AACCCTCGCCCGCACATGGGGGGTGGCAACCTGGTGGTTGCCACCCCCCAGGTAGTCTTTCTGCTCTGCACTCAACATTTTTAGAGCTAGAAGGCTGATTTTTCGTATAGCTGCTCCTCTATCCTTTCTTGATGTCCACTGAAAATTTCAAGTTTCTGTGATTTTTGGTTTCGGAGATATGACCTTGTTTTTCAGGTCATGTCATGACCCAAATGGCCAATTCTCAACATCTTGCGTTTGCCATGGGCCTTATGAGCTTTTGACACCCTGATTTCGGCCTTTTTTGCCAGTCTTACCTCCCACCTATCATGGAACATGTTGTTCGACGATGTACAGGGGTCAAGGTCAGGGTCAAGGTCACCTAGGTCATCTAAGATAATTGCGTTTTAGGCAAGCTGAATTTACTTTTTTGAAGTTTTTTGACTGCATTTTTGGTAAAAGCTTCTCAGATCATGATTTCATGTAATATGGACCCAAAAACAATCGGTGCACACATCAGTATACACACAGACACACACAGACATACAAACACATATAATTGACCTTGACCTAACTTGACCTGAAATGACCTCAGCAGCAAAATTCTGGTCGGGTAGTGTGACAAAGAGGTTCTAGCTGGCTTGGCACCAGAAAACAGCATCGTCATCGGTATTTGATAAGCAGCACACTTGATATCCAACGGTGACCCAAAACAGCAACATTTTTTAGTTTGACCTGACCTGGAAGGTCAATGACTGACCTGAGAAGGTAAAACTGGGTATCATTGGATTTGTCTCTTCCCAAAGAATCTTTTTGGTCTTTACTGCTAAGCTCTATCTCCAACAGGAACGAAATGGCGCGGGGGGGTGGCAACCACCCCCCCCCCCATGTGCGTTCTAGGATGGGAAAATGGCATGTGCGGGCGAGGGTTAAGCAAATTGAGGTCGTCAGTTTTACTGGGGACGGTCCCCAGTAACCCAAAAGCTACTGGGGACCGGTCCCCAGTGTCCCCAGTGGTGGTTACGCGCCTGCGAAAGCGTTATGTAATTACAAATCAATCAAATAAGCACACCACACAGCGTTGCCTTGAGTCAATATGCTCCACGAGTGTATTAGGTAAAATCTATACGTTTACGAGTCATATATTTCTTTATTTCTTTATTTCAATTCAACACCAACGGGCAGCATACCCAGTAACAGGTGCAGTCATTTCATAAAACTCAATAAATAGACATACACATAACACAACACAGAAAAATAATGCAACCGCAAACACAGTAAAATCTGATGACTGATACCACCTTGAAAGACACGGTTACGAGAATTCAGTCATCTGTCAGACTCCCATCACATGCCGTTTCACTCTAGTTCTGAATTCCATTGCTTTTGTTTGTTTGTTTGTTTTGTTGGGTTAGGCCCTTTCGGTCGACAAGACCATTGCAGAGCCGGAAGGATGATAGGAATTAGGGGGAGACATTGGTCTGGGCAGGCACCCTAGTGAGTCGCCGGGGCTGAGCCCGTCCAGAGGACAGGCCACCCAGCCCCAAGGCACTCACTGCACCCGGCTACGGGGTGCGCTCCCTCAGGAGCAGCGGTGCCGCTCCAAGGGAGCAGCCCGCATGAGATAAAGTTGCCTGTCCAGCCCGGAAGGGGGTTGCGGCGTGGAGGAGAAGGATTTCTGTATCCCGAGGATAGAAGCACGGATAGGTGCTTTGCGCCGCTTCCCATATTCCATTGCGCCGCTCTCCCATAGTTATATCCACATCTCTGTAGTGTTTACATCAAGAAAAGCGTTGCATGCCTTTGGTATGCGGTTGAAGGCGCAAAAACGAACCGTTTCAACTCTTGCAAATGACACAGCGAACAAGGCCTGAGTACGTAGTTGGCGGAAGGGTACAGCGATGGGGAACTTCTCTACCAAAAACTGCGAGTCTATCCGGTGCCTGTGGACATTTCGTATAAACATGATATCATGCTGCTTGTGTCGGGCAGCAATGGTGTTGACCTTAAAGTATGTGACTATATATTACTGACCGGGCCGACGAAATTATTTGGAAACGAGGTTTGCAAAATTGACGTAGGCCCGAGTGCGAAGCACGAGGGCCGGAGTCAAATTTTGCAAGCCGAGTTTCCAAATAATTTCGTACGGCTGAGGTCAGTAAGACTTTTCCTACATGCCACATACCTGCTAGAAGTTTCGACAGGTTTTGGTGACACTTTTCTACAATTGTTTTGTCCATATTTTCCTAACAGTGATTGCGCTACCATGCTGTGGATAAAGCCTTAAAGGAAATTTATAGAAGAAAATGCATCAAAATACCTTACTTCAAAAAGAATCACGTCTGAAAATATCAACTCAGAATGGCACAACAATTGGATATCCAAGGAACATAATGCTTGAATGATTTGCCACGACATAAGAACAAGAAGAAGGTATAATATTCCTAGTGATTAAACGTGAATTTTCCCAGTGCTCTTGCAAGAATCTTTGATTAATGATTTATTCATGTAATCGTACTTTGTTGATATGCCCTATGGCTAAACGTTCGTCAAATACATTGTATTTTCCATATTTTACATGTTTGTTTCGAGGAAAGGACTACAACTGCCAAATAAAAACGCATTAACTTAGGCCCAAGGTATCAGTGGACATATCAAACGAAGATAAGACAACAAGCGATAACGGATTTCGATTAATAGGCGCATATCTTACCATAATTTCGGCTTTGTAACCAATACAAAATATTTCAAAACCCTTGATAAGCAGAGCAGATATTTACCAAAAAATGTTATTTTTCTAATTTTACGCGGCAAATATCATGCAATAATGATGTCAATTATACATTCACTGTCAATTATACCTCTGGGGCCGTATTCACGTCGACTTCGTAAGTCGATTTTCTTTCGTAAGTATAATTTGGTATTCACGTCGACACTTCTTAAGTTTTTATCGACGGAGTTCACGTGAATAAAAAAATTAACTTAAGAAGTAGGTCAAACTTAAGGAAATTCTTACGAAAATGATCAACGTGAATACGGCCCCTGGACTAATGCGATAAACTGTAGTTTAGAGGTCATTGCCCTGGGCAGTAAACTCGGGCAGTAAACTTTTGTTTCCTGCCCCGCCTATCAAATAACATGGCATTTTGACACCGACAGTTTCTTGGTCATAGTTTTACTGCCCGGCTCGTGCTGTGCTTAAGACATACCCCGGCATGTAGGAATATATATTCCTGCCCGGGGCCGGGATGATTCAATAAATGTCACCGAGGTTTTTTAGCGAAAACTCCGAGGGCCGTTAGGCCCGAGGTGATTTTGCTTAAAAAAAGCGAGGTGACATTTATTGAATTCCCGGCCTTAGGGCTGGAAGGTGTTTCCCATACCTGCCAAAAAGCTCACAACTATATGATAGTGACGTCAGCAGCCGTGTGGTTCAACGTGTTTAACCACACCCCTTGAACCACACGGCTTGTAATTACGAGCGACTAGCGAGCGAGCGCAGCGAGCGAAGCGAAGTCTTTTCAATATAACGGAAAAATCTCAGTATGAGCGGCCCGGCCCGGCCTGGCCCGGCCTGTAACGCTTTTGAGAGGCTTATATCTCAGCAACCGCTGGACCGAATGGCCTGCGGTCTTTTTTGCTGGGTAGCCCCATCCCTTCTACCCCGTAATTGACTACTTTTGATACATCTCAGTGACCGCCGTGGCACGTGCCACGTGAAAAGTCAAGGGTGTTCAAGCAGTTTTGCAAAAGTAATGATTTTGAGAGGCCCATATCTCAGCAGCGGCTTGAGCGATTGTCTTGCGGTCATTTTTATAGGGTAGCTGCATCCCTTCTACCAAAGGTCGGATACTCTTCATCTATGTGAGTGACCCCCACTGCACGTGCAAAATACAACAATAAGAGGTGCCAAATTTGTTCCCATTTCAGTAACTCGGTAATTACTGGGGCGATTTCGCTGAAACTTGGCATACAGGTAGGCACCCACCAGGCAATGCATTCCCATGTGCTGCGGTTAGGGTGCTACTGCACGTGCGCACGTGCAGGGGGTGTTTCCAGATCTCGAGAACGGCTGGGCCGATTGCGCTCAAATTTGGTACACGGTTGGGGACCGGTTAGTAGGGTGCCGTGCAAAAGTCATTTTGGACCCCGTTTGCACGTGCGCACGTGCAGAATGCCGCTTCCAGATCTCAGGAACGGCTGGGTCGATTGCGTTTAAATTTGGTACACCGCTAGCGACCGGTTAGAAGGGTGCTTTGCACAAGCCCGTTGGAAGTACCCTCTCGCCCTTCTGCACGTGCAGGGCTCACTATCTCGCTCGCTCGTTCTTCGCCCAAAAGGCGTTTTACTGGTATTAAAGCATTGCATTAAACTTTGAAAAGTGTGGTACAGTGCACGTGCCGTTTAAATGCCTGGATGTCTCGATTTAATCATGCAATGTAGCAGGTATGGGAAGAGTTCACCATAGTCCAAGGAAACTGCTGCATCTACACGGCAGCGGGCACAGAGCCAAACTAGAAACTTTTCCTGGACACGTTCGATCCTTTTCATATGTGTTTGAGCCGTACCAGCCCACACCACGCTGCAATATTCCAGAATTGAACGGACATTAGCAAAGTAAGTTGACATGATGGCACGTTGGTTCGCCAAACTGAAAGATCGACCGCGCTTTCCTGTCGCGTACGTGCGCATGAGTAGTCCCAGAGCCATGTTGGCCTTCCGAACAGTGCGGTCTACATGCTCGCCAAGCGTGAGCTTCTGGTCTAAAAATACACCCAGATCTCGCATCACTGTAACGCGCTCAAGCACTACATCTCCCATCGCGTAAGCTGCCATTACAGGATTGCGCCCCAGTGTCAGACTCAGAACCTTACACTTGTCCGGGTTCAGTGTCAGTTTCCATCATACGAGTCATATATTTCATTACCCGTACGTACCTCCTATGAATAAAACGGTGAATAATCTGTTTTATGTTAGCGATTTTAGCCAGCTCGTTAACATCTATGTGCTGCTCGTTTCAGGCACGTGTATATCGAACCTCAGCGACCCAAAGAAGAAGACGGGTCACATCCCGTACCGGGACAGCAAGCTGACCAAGCTGCTCGCCGACAGTCTGGCCGGCAGTGGCGTCACGCTGATGGTAAGACAGGGTGTCTGAAGAAGAAGTTAACGTTACCCTTCTAATGTCTCCATGATTGGCTTTGCTTCTCACAGACGCACGTCGCTCTTCGGGGTATTGCCTAATGCGTGTGACGCGGCGGTGGCCGCCTAAAGTTATGCTGCGCCGCAATACTAGCTCATATTCCTCCCGCTAGATGTGTCTAGTAGTGAGCGCCTGCAGCTGTGCTGCGCCGCAATACAGGCCGATATTCTTCCCGCTAGATGTCACTAGCAAAGAGCGACTGAGGATATGCTGCGCCGCAATACAAGCCTATATTCTACCCGCTAGATGTCACTAGTAGAGCGCCTAGAGCTATGCTGCGCCGCACGACAGTCTTACATGACGTCTTCCCCGCTAGATGTCTCTAGTAGTGAGCGCCTTTAGTTATGCTGCACCGCCGAACACCATCTGCCAGCGCGCGAGGCGAGGCGGCCTGTCTAAAGTAAAGATAGAGTTTCTTTAGGGTCGTGGAGCTATCGAGAGGGATATCATGGGAATCGAAAATCGCCTCCCCCATTTCAGGTGTTTTAGAAGTCTCGAGAGGGGTCCTTATTACATGACCGTGCGTTTACTTATTATGATGAACGTTTTTCTTCTGTCTGCAGATCGCGTGCGCGTCCCCCGCGAGGAGCAATATCAGTGAGTCCCTCAACACCCTAAGGTACGCCTCCAGAGCCAAGAGGATCAAAACCAAGCCCATCGTCGTTATGGTAAGTTTATGAACCGTCTGGCAAGACCAAGTGGCCGGTATACATTTTAACGGCCTGATTCTGGTCCCCGGACAGCAATTGTTTCTACTTTTGCCGGCTTTTCAGGTCTGCATGTGTGGTGAAGTTACAAGCATCACATCGATGACACTCAAGCTCTTTTCCTCATTATTAGATCGATGTTTTTCAATTAAATTCATAACCTAGGAACAAGGAGAGTGGTTGTGGCCATTAATTAGAGCTTAACCGACCAGATTACTGCTATCCTGCACTGTAGGTACATATAAGAGTCTGATTCATGTGATAGCACATGTTTACATTCGTCACTTCCTCCACCAGTTACGCCTGTCCGGCGGCTGCGGGCCGGCTGACCTCCCCCCTCCCCGACAGGACCCGCGCGAGTCTCTCATCATCAGTCTGAAGCGCGAGGTGCACATCCTGCAGCAGGAGAATGACCAGCTGAAGGCGCTGCTCAACATCGGAGCCCACGGCGAGGTGCCGGCCATCACTAACGGCACGCCCGGCACCGGGGGCGACGCGCGTGAGTGGCGACATCTGTGCCGCCGGCGCCGGGTGGAGGAGACGGGTCCCAGCGCGAGGTCACGGCTCTGTCAGTTATTGACTCAGTGGTATTTGTGCCAAATGTAAAGAGGTTTTGAATGGTGTGATTTCCCTCGTTATGGAGTTTGCCGGATGCTCAGCTTAGAATATACGTCCTTCTCAGTTAAGACGGTAAACCGAGAGCCTCACGAGCGACGCGTAGCCTGAATCATTTCGGATAATGTGTAGTGCAACATAGGACGATCCCGTCCCAATGGTCCACCGTGCAGACCACCCAGCTCCACCCTCCCTACTCTCCCCCAGGACGTCGCCCATCGATCGCCAAACTAGCGGTGGACAAGGAGCGTCTCCACGAGCTGAAGACCGAGGAGTTGATCGAGCTGCTCCAGGAGTACATGGCCAACAACACGGCCCTCCGTGACGAGAACCTGGACCTGCACACGCTGCGGGATGCGCTGATGCGAGACCAGGATGTCATCATCAAGGAGAACGAGCGACTGCTGCGCAAACTGGAGGAGATCAACAGGTCGGAGATTAGCGGCGGTGGGAACATGCACACTTGGCTGCTGCGGGAAAAGGAAACGCAGCATGATGGTGATAGGCGGGATGGAGGGCTGTATAGGACGATATCGGGAGTCCGCGGGTTTATAAAACGGTCATCGCCGTTATACTGTATCCAACTTTTCGAGTAGATGTTGATGGTAATGAATGGTGCTACATAAGATGTTTCATATTGAAATCTGGATGTTGCATGGTCGTCGTCAGTTTGTTGCCTGCTTTGCTTGACTGGGATCCTAGGACCAGGTATTCGTCAACATCACTAATAAATTGCTTAGCACGCATCGGAGCAATCCATTCACACGCTCCTGCTGTTGTGGTGACGCCCACTTTCCACCCACGCGCTGCTTTCTGCCACCGTTGTCTGAAGGCGCGGTCCCAGTGTCGGGGTGGTGTGACATCAGTGTGCCATTCGCAGCACGTGCAGCCGGTCCCCCATCGTGCCGGCGCGTCCGACCTACTCAGCCGACCTGCAGGTGCAGAGCCTCAGCCAGCCGTCCACTCTGCCCAACACGCCCGAACGGAACGGACACGGCGGAGGTGACGGCCAGGTCAACGTGTGGACCAACCCGCGATACGTGAGTGGCCGACGGCGCCGGGCCGGGATGTGGCACGCGAAAAAAGACGAAAGGCTTTCGCCTCAGCAGTTTTGTCGATTGTTAGGTCGATTTATGGGAACATCATTTAATCAATTACCGGCGTGATTTGTATGTGAAAGTCCCCCAGCCACGTTACGCTCAGTGTGCGTTTAAGCGGTGAAAACAAAGGTGGTGGGTGACAGTCTATGTAGCGGGGATCAGGGGCTTGGCGACAATCCCAGTTTGAGCTGTTCGTGCGTGGCTGGCGCAACTTGCTAAGAAGGCATTCTGCCAATTGGCTGTGAGGCACAAGGCCCAAGCATCTGCCAAATAACTGACATATTTTGGTAGATCTAGGCTCTGCATGAGGTGGTTGGGGTTGAAACGACGTGGCCGTTTGGCAGCAGAATCGCTTTCGATTTGTGCCGTGCTGAAAAAGGAACTTTTTTCGCTGTTCGCAGGAGGAGAAGAAGAACAGCTCACCGAGGAAATCGAAGGTCCCCAAGTCCGTCGACAAGGAGCTGGAAAAGCGACAGATGAAGGGCTCAGAGTAAGTTTGTTGAGGGCGAAAAAAAAATAGGATCGGGCTGCAACACTTGTAGGTTTTAAGCGGTGTTTCATCGAATTCGTAAGGCCAAGCAATTAAAATTTTGGCGCGCCAGAATTTGCGGCCAGATTTTATTCATTTATTCATTTAAGCAATAGGGCCTATATTTTGAAAAAGGCGATAGCACTGCCGATGCTATGTTTGAGAGTAATGTGATCGAACCAGGGGATCTTCTATCTATTCCAGCAACATCAAGGGCAAGATCCAGCAGCGGACGCCGTCGGGGACGAGAAGCGCCGACGGCAAGAAGCCCAAGTCGCAGGCCATCAAGAACGACCTGGCGGCGCGGCGTCGGGCCGGCGCCTCGCCCGGCCGACCGCCCCGGGCCAACCAGTGAGTGACCCACGCCTGGGCCGCGTGATATTTGGGTACTCGGCGTGAGGTCTCATTTATTAGCATTTACGTAAATGAGTCCACTCAGTGTGAGACGTCATTGTATAATCATTTTCGTAAGTGAATCCACTTCCGACGATCGTCAGAAGTGGAACGCTATAGTCTCACTAATACACAGACGATCGGTTGCAAAGCAATTTACTAATGGTTATGCAACCGGTTTCATCCAGCGTTTCAGGCTAAGTGAATGTAGATAATGGAGTTAACTGGGGTCATGTCGTTTACGTAATAACTCCAGCACTCCAATTACAGACCGAAGATGAAAAAGGCCTCATCCACGTCACGCCTGGATGAAGTGAAGAAAAGGAAATAAAGAGTCCATCTTCGGCTCTACTTTTAGCAATCGGATGCAAACTCATCCCATGCGGGACTGACAGGCCACTGTCGTCTGTCTGTCAGCTAACCCCGCCTCACTGGTGACGTCATCACCATCTGTTAATGACGTCACACGACCCGTTTGGCGGCCGGAGTGTTGTTTTGTAGCTGTCAGCAGGGCGCTTTGTGATTTGGCTTTGTCTACGCCTCATAGGTATGGCCGTTGGCGAGGCAGGTCTGGTGGTTGTGCTGTGCCACCAGGAACACGACCCAGCTAGCCGTTCAACGTATCCGTCCTTCGAATCCGTCCGACTGAACATATCCGTCCACATACATGGGGTGTTATTTATCTACCTGAGCGCATATCACTCTCATGAGATTGCACCCTGAGTTGATGCAGAGCACAAGACTTTTCGTCCTTTTTGTTTTTGCATTTTGCGTCCGTGCATTGTACAAACTTTGATGCAGGTTCACACTACAGTGACCTCCTACTGACTGTTGTGATGCATATGATTTATAAATGTAAATCTAGTCTGGTGCGCGCCCCATTTTGTAGAAGGTAGGCTTCGAAATAATCAGGGCTTATCGTAGAGTGCTGCCGTGTTCGTTATTAGGAGACTTTTATGTAGCTGTAACCAATCAATCAACATTTGGTCAAGTCTGTGACATAAATGTTTCTAAGCAAGCCAGTTTTGTCAGCCGTAGGTACTTCGTTTAATTCATCGTCAAAAAACAAATGTGTTCATTGTTTATCCTCATTTGCCTCAGGCCGCAGTGCAAATAACTGGGCGCTAGTTAGATACTTTGGTGAATGGTGACCTAATCGTTGTACTATACGATTCAAACACCAGGGCCGCAGGGCGACAAAAACGCTGTAGCGAGTAGCGACACACTCAGGCCCTCGGCCGGCCCAATTTCGTAAAATAAAAAACGCGTCTTTTGTCCGACGCGCTTTTCGTAACAAATATTGCATACATCCGAAATGCAAAACGATCTCAGTATCTGACCCACTCGATCTCAATTTCACTACTCCCAGTGCGAAACGAATGTTTAGTCTCTCATGTACTCGTACCATTGCAACGGATGGTTTGTATCTAACTGGATGGGTTGGCGAGTTGTTAGTCAGTGTCTCACTGGTTCCCTTGAGCATCGATGTTGGGCGTGTCTATCCCGAGTTTGACGTGCTTTCTGACTTTCTGTACCCAACTGCGCGCCCGCGATGTTCATCGTCGATCTGATGGTATCGTCTCGAGAAATGCGTTCAAAGACCTGCAGCGATTCTATCCGAACATGCATGATAACTACTATCGTCTAATGTAGACAATAGTTGTTGGTGAAGTGCAAATAACTAAATGTAAAACTCTTAACACCCCTCGAACTCATTCCAACCTAACAGCCGATGCCTTCGAGCTATGACTGATCTCTGCATCAAACGCAACTGTGGTCGGGTCACATGTATTCTGTGATGTTTTGAAACGATCCGCCGCGAACGCGCCGTAATCGGCGTCTGAATAATACATATCACGACATGGACCGTGGTGTCTGAGCTGGATGTAGCCAGACAGCGCAACAGCCGACCGGTGGATCCAACATCGAGCACACACCAGATGGTGTCGGACACAACTGCCGGGTGAATGGCGCGGTGACGCGTTACGCACGAACACACATTGGTTAGCGGTGGCGACGGACGCCGGCCAACATCGCAGCCACCAAACACATCGGCGATACGGCTCGCAGGCCGTCTTTGGTGAGCCGAGGGTAAAATGAAAGCCAGGTCCTGACTCAGTGCGCACAACACCTAATGGTCTTTTTATGATATCGATAAAAACGAATCCATTTTAGGGCATGAATCAGAACTAACCGAAGTAAAAACGACAAAGACATGAGCCACCGTAGAATATGACTCACTAGCGCCTCACGCCACATTGGACAAACAGACTTCAAATCAATGCAACAATCCTGATATACAACGGAAGGAATAGATGAATGCATACCAATAAAGACCACATAGCACAAATATCACACCAAAATATCAATAAGGGAAAACATGTAGCCAAGAGATTCGACATCAGAAAGCCAAAAAAGACTAGAGGAGAGGACCGTCTACCAAAACGCTCACACTTGACGTAGCACCGTTACATGGAAACGGCGAGCGCATCCCGCACATACCCTGCTAACCTACTGAAGCTAACCGCCGTCCCTTGTTTCTGAAGCTAATGCGCGACCAGTTATCTATACATCACACTTCACTACAGATGAGTAACAGATAACACGTGACAAACAGGCGACGCCGACCGATATAAGACTGAAGACAAACTTGAATAATTACACAGACGGAAACGGTAGACAGCATAATAATTGCTCCAAATTTTAAAATCAGACACCAGAAATGGTGAAAGAAAATAGGCACAGTGTAAGCAATATGTGCTGAGTAGTGAGTAATTAAATCTCCGTCTAGACAGGCAATCCAGAAACAATACGCGAAGCGGTTCACGCCGAAAATACGCAATTTGAAGTTTCACAACAAAGTCGGTGTGATTGAAGAGTGCAACATTCACAGTAATACAGAGGTATGTAAATGTCCCCTAATCATTCACACAAATGCCATAAAACCTGAACTATACTACAGCGGTTTGAAACCATGCCAATCACGGAACTTGAAATGGAACTAACACACCGTTTGGACGCGTCCTAGCCTAGGACGACCTTTGCCGCCAAAGAGCCAGAGCAAACTAACGCCTTCACGGCTGTAGTGTCCACGTAAAACGGTTCATAAGCGTCATCACATTTTGTAGTATGCATATGAAAGCCCAGGCAAAAGACGCGAACTGTGAGCAGGGCTGAGCCTCAGCTAAGCCGCAGAGGTGAATGGCAACGGTCTGAAACAGTGACCTTCGAAAAGCTCTCCAATATTGGCCCAGGACCAGACAGCAGACAAAACTTTACAGAAACCCTAAAATAGTAGTTTGTTGTGAGTTGTGGCATGTTCTCAGGTGAGACTGGCTCATTATGCATACTGTGCCCATAAGAGATCAGGTGACTGACTTACAGAATCTGCTATCCACAACTGCGGTGAATCACGGCGTAGCCCGCCAGGCCCGCTCGAGTTTCGCAACAATCGTGTGCGACAGAGACGGTGAGTGACTAACAGAAACTACCTACGTAGGTACGAGTTCGGCCGGTACAAGGTCTAACTCCGTAACAACGAGCGTGGCAGCCGAGCACCAGCGCGCAGAACCCTGTGCTACCCATCCTCTTACACGACGTCGGACGCCGCCTTACCAACTAACTACCCACTAGTTCACACAACGCCCATATTCACTACTCGCCCAGCCGAAGAACTGGCCTGGTCGCTGGGCGCATCGCTCGCAATGGGCACCGGCATGCCGTTTCAGTCCACTCAGACCAGCGTCTGAATTCTGCAGACTAGACCAGCCCGCCACGGTTGTGCCGAGGTGGGGCCAAGCCAGGGCGGGTATCAGTCCAAGCACAGCTCACAAAGGGCAAGACATCTCGCAGCGGCAAAGCTGATTTCCACCTAGAACATTTCTCCTAATGTTTTCCATGCGCTTTGTGACAGTCTCATTTCGGCCAGTGTTGTAATATGACCACGTTTGGTGAGCAGCCCACACAGCGTCCATCACCTTGGCAGCTGTGTGCCGTAAAAGAGCACATCCTCAGTTCACATTCCACTGCCCGTAGAACTCCACACGGACTCTGCCAGAGACTACTTGATTTACCGAGCCTCCTCTCCGATGTTCCACTCCAGTTTGTCACGCCCTCTCCACCCTGCCGGTCTCCGGGTCCCAGCGGCGCGTGCGACTCACACTCCGCGCGCTGACCACGGCACTCCGTCTGCCGGACCGGCCGGGGCGCCGCGTCGGTCCGGCGCCGGCCGGGCTCAGAGCGGCGCCGGCTCGCCGTCCGCGGCCGGACGGCGCAGAGCCTCGCTCTGAACATCATCCAGCTCGAGATCGTCGGGCTTCTGCGGCGGCGGCGGCCGGCACGTCTCGTACAGCTGGACCAGATTCGGGTACAGCGAGTAGAGTGTTGTGCAGATGCCCAGGATGTTCTTCATGAGGAACAGCGAGATGTCGCCGCCGAGGGACACCCAGAGCTTGATGCGGATCACCATGTAGGAACCGTTGATGAGGAACAGGTGCAGCAGCTTGTAGACTAGCATGACGAATGGCGATCCGGTTTCTAGGCCAAAGTCCGTGAGGCTCAGCTTGTACAGCGTCAGCGTCGGCAGTATGAAGTTGACGGCGGAGAGCGCCAGCACCGTGTTCTCCAGGGTGAAGGTCATCACGATGTGGCTGTCGGAGAGGATCAGCAGGCTGAGGAACTGCACCGAGTCCATGATCTCGTAGGCGGTGGAGCCGCACAGCAGGCGGATGTAGGTGTTGCGCGCAGAGGTCGGCTCGGCGTCGTGGTGGCCCTCCACGAGCAGCATGAACACGGCGCCCGACGAGGCGATGGCGATCTTGAGCAGCTGCGGCCCCCACCGGTCGGTCGGCTGCAGCGTGTTGGGGATCTCCGAGGTGAAGATCACCACCACTTTGGCCACCACCACCGTGGCGTACACGACCCACGACACGTAGCTCAGCGGCAGGATGCCCAGCTTGGACCGCGGGTAGTGCGGGATCAGCCGTTTTGGTGAGTACGGGAACTGGCCGGCGCGGTCGCGGCGCTTATAGTGCAGGTACCGGTGCGCGATCGCCAGGGAGCCAATGAACAGAAAAAGGATGACAAAGTCTGCTGCAAACCAAAAGTAGGCCTTGAGAGAGTCTTTGGCCTGTGAGATAATGTAGTAGTTGAGCACACATGATTGGAAGATATGGACCAGCACCAAGCAGATTCCAATGATGAGGTGCAGCACCAGCTGTGCAGAACACTTCTTCAAGTGCCAACCCATCTCTTCAGGCCTAGAATAGAAAAACTACTTCAGATCTCAAGAGTTACAACTCGTGTGAAGAGCATTGAAGTATATCCAGTATCCACATTCCACACAGTGAATATGAAATGACTTTCTGTAAATGTCAAAATCATAATAATGTATCCAGATATCTAAAGTAATGTCCAAAGTAATAATCCAAAATAATGTAAGCCAGCCAGCAGAGCAAAACTTAACCCGCGCCCAACTGGCGGGGGGGGGGGGGACGCTATTCATAGCCCCCTTCTCGTTTTTCTGCAATAACTTCCAAACCGCTTGACGTATCGACGCCAAACTTTAAGTACCTTAGGATGCATCAATTTGACACATTGTGCAAAATATGAACTCTGTAGCTACCATAGGTCGGTCTGAAATGACGTCAGAGTGACGTCATGCTCGACCGATTTCGACGCAAAACATTGAACAACGGCAATCGCTCCCAAGAGCTCAGTTTTCAAGCTAGATCCAATTTCTTTGCATGACAGGACTCATAATAGACTGCGCTATCAAACTGCTATCTCGGATTTTCAAAATTTTGAAAATTTCGAAAATTGTATATAATAAAATTCAAAATTTGTATTTTTATATTTTTAAAAAGTTTTTGACTTTTAGAAAAAAATACGGTATCATGCTCATGACTTACTCTAGAAAGTTTTAGCCAAATATCTTCAAAAATGGCCAAGTTATACGCATTATAGCAAAAAATTCACAAATATAAATTTTCAAATCAATTTTTTTCAGTACGCATTTGACATCGTATACCAATATAAATAGCACCATCGTGTTCCTGAGCTGAAACTGCATCAGATACACATTTTTTGTTGCAAAATTTTAACTTTAAAATTTGACCTTTTTTGACCTGAAAGTGGCCTGACCTAAGCTAAATTCAACTCAAAATGACCTCGAATGACAAACGATATCTAATTCGATATCTATGACCTAAATGGACCATAAAACATGTGTCACGTGACCGAGACATGCAGATATAATATTTCTGTGACCTGTGATGACCTGACCATGACCTGAAAATCAAAGTACAAGTTTGTTACCCTCAGGGTACCTATCTAAAGCATCTGTTCACGAGTGTGGCAACCAAAAACGAGCCTGATCTGACTCGTAAGACGGCGGCCAGAGCCCAAAATGTGAACAAGCCAAACATCGATAATTTTTACTTAAACGTCATCGGTGACCTTGAGGTCAATGAAATTAGGTTTCGTTCGACAGTTTTTCCGGGGCTATCAGACGCCGTTTCAACTTTGACGATCGGCCCAGTAGTTTCGGAGTTCGGAGGGGGGGGGATGAACTATGAAGAGCCCCCCCTAGGGTGCGTTATACACTTATACACAGACCCCAGTGCAGTGGAGCGCGGGTTAACTCATTAGTGGGTAGTCAAAAGCCTGCCAGCCATTCAGGCTGTAGCAGCCTGCAGTTCCTTCAGTAGATAATAAAATTGAGCTTGAAACCCCAATGAAGCTCAACATTTACAAGCGCAATTGAATAAATGCAAAAATTACTGCACTAGTCAAAACTTTCACCTCATGCAAGCTGCAGTCTTTTAAAATGCAACATCATCAGGCAGTAACACAAGGAACCAGGGCCACCAATTGAGAAAAAATACAAACTTCAAAAGCGTTAAAAAAGCCCAACTAAAAAAGATCAACCCATGCAGAGGTATTTCCAAAGATCTTGGGGAATGGTCATTGGTAAATAATAAGATTCCATTGTCTACACTACAATAGGTACCTCAGCACAACTTTTAACAGGCATTTCAAACACTTCTAGTACAGATGCCATAATATTCAAAGGCTTAACCTTGTTGCAATTCAGAAAGAATGCCTACCGTCCCACTTCCTGGCTTTTGATGCAGAATGATGCAGCATTAAACACATACATTTTCATATTAACTTTGTTTGATGATAATTTCTTGTCAGACTGCATGCTGATGGTTGATAGTAGCTTGAAACTCCATTGCCATGAGCTAGAAGCACCTATCTTGTCAAACCTTAATATTGAGTTTTTCATAGGTACCTAGTGTAACAAACTAGATATAAGCACTTAGCAGAGCAGACATCACACAAAGGTTTTCCAACCAAGGAGAGGCACTAGGTACCTATACCAGGAGATGCTTCTTTCTAACAAGACCAAAACAAACCTAACCTAATCCACAAGGGTCATTTCACTCTTTTGCACTCTTTTAAAACTGAAGAAATTCACAAAACAAAATAATGATAAGAAAGAATAAATCATTCTAAGGTAGAAAAGTGAGATCATACATAGATAGGTAATTATGATGCTTTTTACACAAAACAAATGTAAGTTAGTTACACCCAACCTCTCATTGAGTCAGGTAAGGTTATGTGGTATATAAGTAATTTAGGTTGTAGGTTAGGTTCTACATAGATTGGTAGGTTGTAGGTTGGTAGGTTGGTAGGTTGTAGGTTGGTAGGTTGGTAGGTTGTAGGTTGGTAGGTTGGTAGGTTGTAGGTTGGTAGGTTGTAGGTTGGTAGGTTGTAGGTTGGTAGGTTGGTAGGTTGTAGGTTGGTAGGTTGGTAGGTTGTAGGTTGGTAGGTTGTAGGTTGGTAGGTTGTAGGTTGGTAGGTTGGTAGGTTGTAGGTTGGTAGGTTGTAGGTTGGTAGCCTGGTAGGTTGTAGCTGTAGGCTGGTAGGTTGGGTTTAGGCTTAGGTTTATTCAGATGCGCTGCTGTGGACAAATATGCCTACTTGGTGACCACATCAGGTAAAATGCATCAGCATTACTGGGCAATTTTAAGGCCTGGTCGGAATCGGCTGACAGAACTTTGTCAGCCGAGAATAAGCCCCGCCCACACCACGCTGCTGATGGGCTTGTTCATAATCGGCTGACAGGAAACGTCAGCCCAGATGGCGCTTAGATGCTAAGATGGCGCTCGACAGATAGGGTTGAGAGTTGAGACTTGAGGAGAGGTAGCATTTTCGCGCTTTTTTCAACAACTATCTTCCGTTAGTCGTTACATTATATTTCTGAGGTTTATTTGCCGAGGCTATAGAAAAAATTACAGGATTGATAATTGAGGCAGTGCTGGCATTTCGATTTGTAGGTACTGTTTTCAGGCTGACTCGCACATTGCGCCATGAAAAAGAAATAATTGCTATCTTTCGCGAAAAATATTTAATACAAAATACGTCAAAAACATCGTATATAAAAACTAACCACCTGCACTATAAAGCTGCGCTTTGACTTACATGCACCACTTTCGAGCCACTTTGAATTTCGGCTGACGTGCTGCTGCCTTCTCCCAGCAGCCGAAAAGCCGGCTGTCAGCAGAGGTATGACGTCACAGCGCGGGAAGGCGTGATACGTCATCAATATCTCAACCAATCAGGGGCTTGGATCTCAGCTGACAACAGCACAGCAGCCGATTCCGACCAGGCCTTTAGTGGCTAAAAACCAAAGATAGCCATGCGATTTCAATTTGCATAGCAATAGTGTGCAGCAAAATAGTTTGCAGGAAAATGCCTGGACGCTTATACCTGACCTTGTTCTTTGAAAAATACACAAATATATACCATCTGAAACTTCGACTGAAAGCCTAAAATAAATGAACATCTCCATCATCACCTACCTGCAAAAATAACATCGAGACTCTCCGCCACGGTATATGGAGATCTCTCCGCCAACTGTTCTATATACCCTGCCGCCAACACCTTATAGGTATCTATATCCTTATAGGTATCAAAATGGTTTCTTATAGGTATCTTGCCCGACACCACGTCCCGCAGCACGGCCTTTCCCGTCGTGAGTCCGTGCAAAGTGCGTGAGTGTTGGCTGTGTGTGTTGTTTGTGCACGTTTCAAGCAAGTTCTAAAGAGACTCGCCAGAAAAGGGTAAGGAATCTTGATGACGTCACTAATATAACAAATTTGCATAAATAAAACAAACTTTCTTTGATAAGCCTTTCTTTTGCATAAATATCGTTTCCTATTTGTATTTCAAAAAATGAGTGTGTGAATTTTTCCTTGCGAAAAATATCCCAAATGTGCGTGCACTGTTTGAGATAATAAAAGAAAACTTTATTACAATGACGTCAGATGTCTAAGCGTGAGAGTAAGGGCCTGTTCCAGCGCCTCCAGAAGAAATTCTTGACTGGAGGCTCTACCAGAGGTTTTACTGGAGGCGCTGGAACGCAATCTGGAGATTTCTGGAGATTGGCGTCATAGATACCAAAAGAATGACGATTGTTCTCTCTTGAAACGCAAAATTTGTTTTCAATTTTAGTTAAAAAGATAAATAAAATTATAGCAATGTAATTTTCTTTACATTCAAGTTGTAAAATAATCAGTCAAATGTCCTTTGTTTACATTCGTGATTGTCACATGTGCACCATAATTGTAGACCAGAGCCTCCAGAGAAAGTTGGAGCTCTCAACTCTCTGGAGGCTACTGGAGGTTTCTGGAGCTTTGGCGAGAGCTTTCTGGAGCTTTCTGGAGGCGCTGGAACGCTCTCTGGAGGATTCTAGAGCTTTCTGGAGCTTTCTGGAGGTTTCTGGAGGCGCTGGAACAGGCCCTAAAATTGTACTACCACTTGACTACCACTTGCTGATTTGTCATCTCTGCGCAGGATTTGTTTGCTTATGAGTTATGCTTATCTATTGTTGATCTATTGCATCTATTGTGGCCTCAGAGGGGCTCTGGTATTAACTGGATAATTCGCCAGCTGACGCCGTATGGTGGCGCTAGTGGAAGAGTAGGTGTGTACTGTGTATAATTTTTGATATTGCTAGGCATGTGGGTGAGTTTTCATGCAGATTTTATTTCTGATTTCGGGACATGTTTCATGTAGGGTTGGTATTTTTATGATTTGAATTGGTGAGGTCCTGAAATATTGATATGTATTTCTGCATGATATTCATATTGAAGCCCGACTGGAAAAAATGCCTCCACTACGCTGAAGTTCTCGGCGGAGGTGATGCGCCGAAATTTCGGCGCAAGGGTTTATGCGCCGAAATTATTTTACCAAGCCATGCTTCATGCGCCAAAAATTTTCAAGGCTTACTGATGGCTGCAGGCTGTAGCCACGCACTTTTCGTCGAGGGGGGGGGGGCTGGCGTGTGTGTGTGGCTGTCTTCCAGTGACTACTGTCTACAGACGGTTGTTGGCACGGTCGACGGGATCGGGCAGACAATAGACATCAGCAGGCCATGCGGGACCGAGCACCAGCGTCCGCTATCACAAAATCTCCTGACTCACAAACTCACTGGCATGTTCCATAATGTAACCTTTATTTTGTTGCCCGGCTCTGATCAGCAGTAGTGCCCAACCGGTGACTAACGCCTGACGGGGCCTTCAACAGGTGTGGTGCAAGCACGGCCGATGGGATCGGGCAGATACCAGGCCACGCGGGACCGATTGCCAGCGTCCGCTCGCAAACCACACGCCGGAAATACAGGAATCACAACGGTCAATACGCACACGATAGCATACGTTATCTGAACTAGGGAATCCGACAATCCATAACCTCACTCTCGACCGGTGAACTGTTCCCGCCGTGGGAGAGTCACAATCAGGTTCACTGAACATGACTTAAATACCCTGAGACGAACACGAGACAAGATAAGTGATATTTAAGATGTTTAACTCCCGAAGACATTTAATCCTCGCCGGCCGAGGGGGGTTGGTGCCACCCCCCTGACGGTTTTTTCGCGATTTACGCCGAAGTACGCCGAAAATTTCGGCGCAAGCCGTCGATTTACGCCGAAGTACGCCGAAAATTTTCGGCGCAAACGCCCAACTACGCTCGAGTTCTCGACGAAAGCGTGCATTTTTTCCAGTCGGGTATTGAAGTGTGATATCTCAAACTTATTTGTTGAATGTTTTTTATAAGTTGGTAGAGGTAGGTATTTTAAATATTCATTTGTGCCTAGCATGTATGAATGATTCATCTGTCTAAAGCAAGTTGAAGTTTTGATTTTTATTGACTACCAAGTTTAACTTGTAAGTCATAGATTAATAGACTTTGTCTATAATTTAGACCTGGGCCCGCACTCTAACAGTGGGCCCCTAGCCTGGACTGGATGGTTAAGAAGGTTCAGTGGCACTCGGCATGGTAAATTAGACAGAAGTTCCCAATGTCTGTGTCGCCTGATTGGTCGCCAGCCAGTCTTTTTTACTGCAGGAAATATGGCTGGCGGTCGGAGACACATGAACTACAGAACTAGGTCCAGACTGGAAAAAATATATGTTACACAAAATATGTCCGGCGCAGTGGCGGGGTTGTGCCGAAAATTTCAGTGGCCGTCCGGCGTAACTTCGCATGTGCTGAATTCAGCGCACGGCGGCAGTCAATTTTTTTGGCGCAGGGCGCCCGCATAATTTTTGGCAAATGGCGGTCACAGAATTTATTTGGCACCCTTGTCAATCTAACAGCTGATTCGCCCTGCGGGCAGCTCTGGAGAGGGCTCGGCACAAGACGTCCCCGTTCCTGTTGTCAAGTGCTCGAACTGGCGAGCCGCCCTGCTGAGTCTAACTACTCACGGGAGGAGCGGCTGCCCAGGCGAGGCCTCCACCCTCAAGGTGGATATGGGTATGAAAGATCTTATTGGACATAACCGAGCGTCGTGAAATAATAGGTACTGCAGTCAGCTTCCTGCCCACTGGAGTATCAACGGGAATGAGAGTGCGGACGATCTGGCGAAACAAGTGGCCGCCCTCCTGCCCTCTGACGCCCGCACGCTGACCCGGATGGTTCATTGTGCGGCCTGATGTTGTTGTGATTTCCCTCCAGATTCTGGCGAGCTGTAGCCTAACGGCTCTGGAGTTACCTGGCGACGCTCGCCAGGGCCGCCACCGCGTCGTCCCGTCGCACGTCGCTCAGGCTTGGGAAGATGGTGCCGAAGATGCGGAGCCGGGCGCTCATCAGCGCCGGGCACCGCAGTGGGACCTGGTCTGGTCCGGGGTGTCGGCCTCTTCGCCGCAGGCGCAGCACCATCCTGCCCGGCATCTCTGATCACTGCAGTGGGCGCACTCCGGCGATGGATGCCGCCCGATTCTGTGCAGGTACTGGGCTGACCCGGACCAGTTCCCTGCTCGTAGTTGGTGGGTCTCCACTGCGTCCAGCGTGTTGGATCCACGTACCGGCGGCGGGGGTCGCCCCTCCATCAGCGTGCGGTACCAGCCAGGAGGCCACTGGCTGGTGGTACGGGCACGCGCGACTCTCGCCGCAGCTCGGTAGACCGTGGTCGCGTCAACAGCGACGTTTTCTTGGGGGAGAGCCGTAGCGTCTTTGGCGAGTTGGTCCGCGCGTTCATTCCCCGGGATTCCGCAGTGGGACGGTATCCACTGTAGGAGGACCTGGCGACCGCTCGACGACAGCTCCAGCCTCCAGCAGACTATCCCAGATCTCAGTTGCGAGGGGCGATGACTGCGCAGACGGCCCCTCCTACAGCCTTCGGAGAGCCGCTTGAGAGTCTGTGCAGACCAACACTGCACTGGATCCTCTGTGTGCGCCGGGTGCTGTCGTAGGTGCTCGAGTGCCGCGTTGAGGGCAACTAGCTCCGCCCTGTAGCTCGAGCAGAGTTTGCCGGCAGCGACCCGCAGCTCCCGGGTCTCGCCGTCCGGCAGCTCGAGCAGAGCTCCAGCTCCTCCACTGGCGACTCCCCGTGGGCCGCGCCGTCCGTCCATACCCACGTGGCGCATTGTGGAAGACTGCTCAGGTGGAGAGTGGCTACCTCCAGCTTCGTCTGGGCAGATGCTGCTCTCGGCGGGAGGCCGGGCCCGACGTCCAGGCGGAAGGTCACGCCATTCGAGGTCACCCATGGGGGTTGCCGGCTAGAGAGGATGGGCTCGATCGGCGACGACACGCCGGCTGCCTCCCAAACCTCCGTGCTCACATGTCTCCAACCAGTGACGGAGGACAGACGTGCCGGCACCACCTCGTCGGCGACGGTCCGGAGCGGGTCCTCGCGTGGCAGGGGTGGGGGGGGGGGGGGGGCGCCTTGGCTAGGAAGCGGGTCGCCAGCGAGAGACGCCGCGCCGAGACCGGGGGCATACCGGCCTCCGCCAGCAGTGCGTGGGTCCGTGTTGAGACAGGGCAGCCCGTGATCACGCGCGCACCGGTCCGCACTTCATGTTCGAGGGTCTCGAGGTGGGAAGCGGGCGTGGGAGGCAGCCAGGCCGCTGCAGCATGTTCTTGAGGGCCCTGAGATATCCGTTGGCCACCGCTCGAAGTTGTTGTTCTCGGAGGCCCCAGTCACGCCCAGTTAGCCTCTTGAGCTGGGCAATCCGGGGGGGGGGGGGCGAGTCTTCTGTCGCAGGTTTCTGCAGTGCGCCCCGAAGTGAAGGGTGCGGTCTAGCGTAACTCCAAGGAGTTTCAGCTGGGCACCCGCGGACACAGTCTCCCCTGCTACCTTGATGTAACAGTCGACTGCGTCCTTGGGGGCTTGAGAGAGGACCAGCGCCTGGGTTTTCTCGCTCGCCACTCTCATTTTCGAGGCGAGGGCCCACTGCACCAGAACATCAGCCGCTTGCTGGGCTCTCCGCCGTGCGACCAGGATGGTGTTGCCGGAGCACAGCGTCGCCGTATCATCAGCGTACATATACGGCGTCGTGTCTGGGATCTTCTTCAGGGTGTCTGCCAGTGGCGCCGCCCGTAACAGGAACAGGGTCGGCGCCAGCACGGTTCCCTGTGGCAGTCTTGCTCTGAAGGTTCGGTCGCGGCTCTTGGTGCCATTTACTTCTGTGTGAGCTCGGCGGTTGCGGAGGAAGCTCCAGATCCAGGTGATGATGCAGAGTGGTATGCCCTGTTGCAACAGTCGTACGTGGAGTAGCCGATGGTCTACCGTTTCGTCGTCCACCGTATTGTGCGGCTCGCGTCAATGGCGCGACAACTGGTCCGAGTTACTAATCAAGCCAGTCCTTGGGAGCACGCCGCCGCTCCCTATCCCCGGAGAGGACCGAGAGGACGCCGTTTCGGTGCACCTGGTGAGGGCGAGGCCCGAGCCACTGGGGCCGCTCGCTCCAGTACCTGCAACGGATTGGCCGTCTCCCCTCTGAGGTGTGCCAGCGGTGCCCAGACAAGTGGTGCCCACTGCCCCGCGGCACTCTGCGCCGTGTGCCGAGAAAAGGCTGATGTGCCGTAGCACGTGCTGCTCCGCTGCCCGGCCCTTGCTGGCTGCTGGCTCCCGCCAGTCTTGCACACACCGCTCCGCCGATTTTTGTGGCCCAGAATTTCCGGCAAAGGCCTTGCTTCACGGCACAACGCTACAGTGCGCTTAGCGTATTGTGGTATCGGGTGTCCGCGGAAATAAAAACTTATTCGGATGCTCAAGCATAGTAGTGTCTAAGGCCCCGGGACGCTCTATCTGGTTGATATTTGCCTTGATCGGTAGATGTGCACATGTGCTTTATATTAAAATGGCTTAATTTTGACGCAAATATGCACCCAATTTTGGGCCCAAGTCATGCAGAAATTTCAGCGCAAAATTGCTTGCGCCGAATTTCGGCGCATGAGAGTCTCACGGGCGTCCGGCGTAGTGTGTGGATGTTTTCCAGTCTGGAACTAGGTCTATTTTTGTCCATTTTCTTTCATCTTGTCAGTCCATGAGTCCTCCTCTTGAATCTTCCTATAATTATAGTAACTGCTTTGCTAATAATACAGGTGCAGGTTAAAATAATGCTTCTTAAAGAATAGGGCGTCATGTTCTTATTGATCAGCTGAGTCAAATGATGCTACATTACCTATGGATTCGCCCATGTGTACCTAAGACTTTTCATTCAGATCTGGGCGTCGTACGTAGCTCCCAAAGGCTCACTCTTCATGAAAGCATTGCAAATGTACTGTGTACAAGTATGTGGAGGCTTTACCTAGTCGTTTTGACAGGCGTTGTTTATTGGTTATTGGTTGATGGCTGTTGCCAGTAGCTTTGTTTATAGGCTGAGGTGGCCAATTGATTCCTTCTGAATCAGCTATTCGGGCTCAATCCTCATTCCTTCCTATTGACTTGGACTGGCTGAAAATCAATGGGTTTACACGCAGTATGCATGCGGCATCCTGTGGCAAACTAGACCAGCTACATGGTGAATTCAAGATGTGTGGTGATTACTCTAAGTATGCTAATGACTTTTTCCAGCTATGTGGTGAAGTATTGTCACTTCAGTATGGAGCAGCACCAAGCTCCATTATTGCGGAGCACTGCTGTTCCATCAATGCGAGACCTGTGCTTGAAGGAAGTTGCTAAGAACCTTCAGGGCAATATCCCAGACAAAGTACAAGAGTTGCTGTCCCATCTTCCACCTGATGAGGCAGTGGAAGCTCTTGACCAGGCTCTTTCATCATCTGTGAGTAAATGTTGTACTATTGAATATTGATCACATTGTTTTGTGGAATTACGATCTAGTTCACAAAATAGACATGCATTTGTTGGCAAATATTTTATTTATTCCATCTTTTACTCAGACATTATGATGCAGATTTGTGATGCTATTTCAAGTAAAAGGGTGTATCATTATCAATGTGCTGGCAAAGATAATCGTGAATGATCGCCCATTGAAATCCATCGCGAATTATCTTGTGACATGGCTGTGCGAACTTTGCCAGGTAACGCCGACGGGCGTTTGTCCTTACCGGCTGTTGCTGCCGCGTCCCGGCGTCCTGCTACAGTCGGCCCGGCTCCGCGGGAACCTGCTGCGCATCACCAGGGTAAGGGGGCGTGGTGTGCGGAGGGGAGCAGGAATCGAGACCAGTCGGCGCAGTGTGTTGAGCAACTCGTGTGTGCGGGGGCCGGGTCGCAGGAACGACGCCGGAGTAAGAGTCAAGGGGGCGTGGTTCGCAGGGTGGACTCCGGGTAGGTGGGCGTGATCTGCAGACTCGTCTCCAGAGTAGGTAGGCGAGGCTGGCGGGAATAACTCCACAGTTGGTAGGCTTAATTTGTTGGGAACATTTCGTTTAGGTTTAGGAGTTTGTCGTAGGTGGTAGGGCTTTTGGGAAATTGGGCCCCGTATTGTCAGCGTTGCTGCGTGCATGTATTTACATATTTTGTTTCTGACTTGGTCGTGTTTCTGTCATTGGTAGCATGCCTCGGCGGACGCCAGTTCACGCGTTGCCAGGGACGCGCTTCTGCTCCGGATCTGCTCGGCTGGGTCACAGACGGAACTCACTGACGTCCTTGAATTCGGTAAGACGTCATCTTACATTTAGTGTTTGATTTCAGTCATCTTTTCATGCGTTAGTGCATTGTATTTTAAGCCATTTTTTAATGACCATTTACTGAGTCAGACCTCGCCAATATTCCGTAGATAGGGTAGACCGGGGCAAGTCGCCCCGCCGAGGTAAAACGCCTCACCGATGTTTCTCGGAACTGGCAAGGTTCTGGGGAAACATCCTGTCTTCTATAAAACGTGCACTATATGATCATTATATGAGCAGAGTGGAAAGAAATTGTGATAACTCTTTGGGGAGATATAGCCAAAAATGTGTTTTTGGTGTGATTTTTATGTTTTGTTGTCTGATTATGCATCATGGCGTTCTTTTATGGTCCACATCAGGTTAACGACTTTTATGCATTCTGAACAACTATTGACTAACGCTTATAATGCCGGGTTAGTTCGTGTTAAATTATGTCTTACTAGAGCGCAAGGCGTTGTGCTCTGGCCGAATTACGTGATGGGGTAAAACGCCCCGGTAGGTCGCGGGGCAAAAAGCCCCATGGGGCGTTTTACCTCATGTGTTGTTCGGACTACCCACTTTCTAATGTTCGGTAGCTGGCGAACAGTAAGTTTCTATGCCTTTATATGTATTTTTCTCAGCAGCTGGAAGACAAATGAGGTATTTTGTTAACATTGGCATTGCAATAATTTATTATTTGGCCTTATGTGGCAGGTGAAAAACCTGCTCATACAATAGTGTCATAGCTGAACACCTGATAGGATGGAATGTGCTAACTTCAGTGCCGTGCCTCTCGAGGTCTAACGGACCTCTCATAAAAGATTTAGCCAACTACCATGTGTAATCTTTAATCTAGAGTATGGGGCTACTTGCCCCAGGCCGTGGGGCGTTTTGCCCTGGGGTTGGGGCAAAATGCCCCATTTGCAGTTGCTTCACAAATCACTTCCTGGCTTGGAGTCCAATCACAAGTGAATGAATTTGAGGGATGGAATTTAAAGTAAAATGTCCAAAGAACGCATTGAGCACAAATTTGGCCTTCCAGGTGATGTGGGACAAAAGTTATGTAGCAAAATAAATTATCTGGGGCGTCTTGCCCCAGGCTACCCTACCATGGAAGAGGCCTTTTTTTAGAATGTTTTATTTTTCAGGCATCGTTTGTACTCTAGAGGTGGCGGCGTGGAAAGTCTTTAATTGTACTTATCATGACATTTTCATTCGGTTTTGCTTTCGTGTAACAACTGAGGTGTCCATTTGCGTTTTCAGGGACATTCCTATGTGAAATGGGCTGGCATGAAGATGGTATGATCATTCTGGAGAAGACCTTCTCCGTCTTATGTAAAAATGTCTCCTGGCAGGTGTCTGAAATGGCTCTGGATTGTGTTCATAGGTAAGGTAATGGGGGCATGTAGTGACAACTGTTATGTTCATCATTTGTCTTTGAGTAGGAACGGTCGACATGTTGTGTTCGATTTCGTTGCGCTGTATAGGCACATTTTTGCTGAGTATTTTCCCTGAAGACCATGTGCACTTTCCAGTGAAGGTGTACATCCTGGTTCATAGTTAGATACACGTTTTAATCATTTCTATCCAAACGTTTCATATTATTATTTTTTACTGTATAACTTGAATCTCCTTCGTTATCGTATTATGTGCATAATTTTGCATGTCCTGTTAAAAGCGCTGTGCGAGTATATTCACACGTCGTCACCAAGCGTTAGTACATCACACCGCCCCTCCCTCCTCCCCCGCACATTGGCACCCCCTATCTGCCCCTCGCCCAGACAGCTGGCGGCGGAGACTGCTGTTGGTCGAGTGGGTGCCGCCGGGTGGAACGCCGGTCGTATGGCCTTCCTGAACGGTGCGGGGCTGGGCCTCCGGTCTGGCCTGCAGTCGGCGGCGGCCGCGGCCCAGGCGCGGCTCGCTCTGCTCACCGAGAACTGGCCCGCGGTGAGTGGAGTGGACCCGCCAGCGTACGGCCACGTCCCCAGCGGGGTGCAGCTGAGGGATGACGCGGTAAACGTCAGCGGCGCCTAGAGCTCAGCAATGGACTGAGGCAGCTACTTGTAACAGATGTAGGTATTATATGCCGCAGCTGTTATTGCTGATTAGGAATGATGATTTCTAGCAAATAATTTTGCTATCGGTGTCTGGCATTGCGGTAATAGCTGCAGCGCCATATCTTTTCTGCTTTCTTCTCGTGAATTCTCTGATCTCCCTTCAATCATATTTCATTCCGAATCATCATCTTATGTCGAGCCAGCCCCGTCTCTGTGGAAGGTGCTTGTACACCATCTGAGGCTCACGCCGACTTCACCTTCAGGCGCTGCGGTGGCTGGTCGTCGCTCTGGACTCCGTGCCGGCGGCAGCGCCCGCTGACCTGGCTGCCGAGTTGCCCCGGCTGGTGGCTGAGCTGCTGCTGAGCTGCGGCTGCACGGCGCCGCTGGTGGAGCTGGCACCGCAGGCTCTCAGCGCCTCCTATCGGCACTGGGGCCAGCTGCACCCGCAGACCCTGGCCGCTGCCCGCGTGCTCGGCGACTTCGCCCTGCTCTCGGGGTTCAGCGGCCGAGCAGATGATATCAGCCAGGTGAGGTATTCCGGAGTGGTGGATCAGCTACAGCTATGTCAGGATCTCCAGGCTTTGACTGCCTTGCCAATTGAACCCGATGTCCGGACGTGCCGTTTGATAATATTTTGCGTGGTCTTTATTGCTACATCTCATGGTTCCGCATCGACGTTATTGGGTAAAATTAACTTTTTCTAATGCTGCTGGCAATATGAGAAGAAAAGCTGAGTGCACTCCAACGTGTCAGGTGCACAAGGTAACATTTTCAAACTAAACACGATCCATATTTTAGTCGATAAATGTACCACAAAGTTACATGGAGACCAACAATCCATGTTTAGCCCCGTCTAACCATCAGTCTCTCCGTCCCTTCCGTCTGTGACCGGCCTCCCGTCTCCTCCCCCTTACTCAGATCTGCGGCCGGCTGGCGGAGCAGATGTATGCAGAGTCCAGCCCCCTGCGGCAGCGGCTGAGGCTGGACCGGCTGCTGCTCGAAATGAAACTGGCCGCCGCCGACCCGCCCGAGGACGGCTCTCACAGGTGAGACGGGACGCTCAGGGGCTAGTCATAACGGTCATAACTCTCACGGGAGAAACAGGCTCAGGGGAGAATTGAGATGGGACTATCACAATTCAGACGAGACTCTTCGATAGGACGTCTTGTCTCGAGGTTCCTTTCACGGGACGTGAGACGGAATTCTTATCGGTAACATTTGACGGGATCTCTTCCTAACTCCCGAGGCCCCGACACACACCCTCTTTCAAGCACGCTAACCACGGCCCCCTGCCCCGGTCAGCGGGCCCCAGACGGAGCGTCCTGCCACGCTACAGCTACCCAGCCACAGCTGCTGGACCATTGACCTGACCCTGGCCGACTGTCAGTGGGTGGACGACCAGCTCCCGCTGCTGCTCAACTCGCTCAACGGCTTCAGTGAGGGTAGGTGGGCTGGGATAGTCCGGGAACTCCGAGCCCTCGTAGGCCGGACACTAGCTGATCTGGCTGTCTGACAATGTGTAAACCATAAGGGATGCCTATATGATGTTGTGAAAGCTTCGGCTTGTGATATTTTATTGCTCTATTCTCTATTCTCCAGTGACCTGGCATGTAATTGCATGAGTAAATGTGTGCTTAATGCTATTCCAGTTCTGCCTGGTGCCCCTCCGCTCACCTCTCTCCTGTCCCTGACAGCGGCGCAGCTGGGCGTTCAGACTTACTCTCGTCTGCGCGAGACGGAGCGCCTGTGTGAAGAGCTGATCGGCCCGGCCAGTCTGCGGCTGAGCAGGGTACTGACCCAGCTGGCGCGGCTGCTACTTAACCTGGAGCTGGACCAGCTGCTGCCCAACACGGTCAGTACCGGGGCTAAAGCCGCTCAGCGGGAACCAGAGCCGTGGACTCCACTGGTCACCGGAGTCATCATAGCCTCTACCCAGGAGCTAGACTATAGCCTGCACCGGGGACTGGACATAATCATAGCCGCTCAGCTCGGACTGGGCCCACAGCCTCTATGCCTCTACGGGGACCGAAGCCAGCATACATCAAGCTCCGCAGAAAAAAGAAACAGTGCATATCGAGAATAATATGTTTTCTCTCATCCGCTTTGTTCACACGTTGTTGTCTTTACACGTCCTTTCCGTCCCGTGCCGATCAATTTCCGTGCCGCGCCCACCTGTGTCCCAGATCTCGTGCGCGCCCGAGGCGGAGACGCTGCTGCGGCGGGCGCTGGACGTCCAGGCGCAGCTGGGAGTGCCGAGCGACCACCGCGACTCGCTGGTCACTCGGCTCACGCTCGCCAGCCTGCACACCTACTCGAGCACGCAGTACCTGCTGGAGGCTGAGCGACTGATGAAGGCCGCGCTGCGAGACTGCCGTGAGTGGGGGATAGGGGATCGGCAGCCTGGCCGGGGCTAGCAGAGGAGGCGAGGGACTGGCAGCTCGGCTGGGGCCAGGTCTGCAGAGGAGGCGAGGGACTGGCAGCTCGGCTGGGGCCAGGTCTGTAGAGGAGGCGAGGGACGGACAGCGAGTTGGTAACCCTCCGGTGGTGTGGGATACACCCAAACTAGTCTGGATAATAGTTTGATCTAGTGCTGCATGCTTTATCGGTATTACTTACGCTTTAGCGGTAGAAGAATGGCCCAATTAGGTAGTTTTTCATTGGTGTGAGGAGTTAGAAATGATTGTACATTTTGGGTACACGCGTGACGCACGTTAGAAGTAGACCAGAATGGCGATGGCAGTCTGCCCTAAATGAGCCGAACAGACGAACCTTCTCGGTTGTTGGAAGTGCATCTAGTGTGCCAGTCCACTGATACACCCGGTATCGCTCAGGGTTCCAACGTCAGGACTTACACCCCAATCCCGCTGGTCAGCCACATATCCGTTAGATATCGTGGACTGGCGCTAATTTGACGCATTTTAACCGCTGGAGGGCGTGATGTGGCCGGTTAGGTCCTGACCGGCCGTGTAGGCTGCCTCCTTTTTAGGACAATCGCCGTGTGGCTCAAAGGAGGTCGAGCTGATAGTCATATGTTGGTAGGGATCGGGTGATTTATATTACGGCGGTGCGGGGCCTTGTAACCCTGACGATAGCGAAAGTTGCATTAATCAATTAGGTGAGACGTACAGAAGTCATGATGCAAACCGTGGAGCTTGGTGATGATTGAGGATGATACGAGATAATTATTACCAGTTTAGTTTTCTCCAAAAGCCGGCACTTATATGACGTTAAGCCGTCTTTGCACATATATTTGTGTCTGAAATTATCTTCGACGCAATGGTTTCAGTTAAAATGCTGAAGTTTTTCTACAGTTGACTTCCAGGCTATGCCTCATGCCTTTTTACTGCTAGTTTCTTTAGTCAGCAGCGCTAGAAACCGTAAGTAGCATCTGTAGTCGCTGCATGCAGTAGTGTTAGTCGGATTTAACACACCCACCTCCCCGCTCGGGCCCGTGGTAATAACGGCCCTGCCCGTACGTGTTCTGTGTGTGTGCGTCCCAGACGGCGGCGGTCACTGGCGGCACCTGGATCTGGCCGAGCACTGTCTGCGCGGCCTGTCGGCCATCTACGCGCGCCACGAGGACGCCCAGCGCGCCGCCGACATGGACGACCTGCTGGAGACGGTGCAGGCTCTGCGGCGCCGGCTCGCCGCCCAGAGGCTGCCGCCCGAGGGACTGGCCGCCCTGCTGCCGCCGCGGCCCTGGAGCCAGCGCGAGATGAGGCACCAACTCATGGCGGCGCTCCGACGGGTGGCGACGGTGGTGCGGCCCGACAAACTGACAGTGGTGACGCCTCACGGACTGACGGTGGTGACTCCTGAATGACTGACGGTGGCGACACATGAATGACTGACGGTGGTGCTGCCTGCACGGCAGCGGCCCAGTGTCGATGTGCAGGGTGGCTCCGATGGAGTGTGGCACATGTAACCAGTGAGCTTGATGGTGCCAACGCTGTACCTTTGCTTGTTCTATGATATTGAACTCCATAATAATGATGTGATCTTGATCCACGTGAAAAATCTGTTAGCACAATGTGCAGCACCGTCCAATATCTGTGAACGCGCCAAACGTATCCAAGTTGGGAGGAACCCGGCCTCCGTAACGCGTGGTGGCTCCGTTGTTATTTTATACAGACGGGTCGCAGGTTGTGATATCCATATGTGATCGCGTTTTTACTGGAGATGTGATGGCACATTCCGATGTCACATACTGAGCTTGCTGTTAGATGTTTATAGAGATGTCTGTTGAGTGTAATGTGTAAGGATCGCGCCGATGGATATATACTGCGGGTATGAGTCGTCGCCATCTGTGATTTAGTTGTGAGATTCGCGCTGCCAATATTATGAGAATGGCACTATAGTGCCTGCTAGCCTGGATGCCGCGATGCGAGCCTGTGTTAGGATTAGCGAGCCCTGCCAGCCAGCGGAGTTGCATGGCTACAGCCGCTATATTGTTGATTGCTAGGGAACTGTGTCAGTCATTCGTACTACGGTGACTGCAATCAGCTCCTCTCGCGCTGCCTCCATTACGCCGGTACTCAGTTATCATTGCTGTGGTCTGGAATCGGGTACGGGATGTGGACCATGGTCCGGAGGGCGGAGTTTCCAGACCACACCGCTGCGCTGTGCCGAGCATGCTGTGCGCAGAGACCTGCTTAGTAAAAATGTGCTTTCGCTTTGTTGATTTATTTGCTTTATTGTTTGTTTAAGGTGAAGTCGAAGTGGCATATATTTACGTTCGTTCTTCGTAATATGTTTGCGCTGTTTGCCTATATACAATGTCTAATCAAGACTCGTTATTGGCCTTAGCCTTGATTAATAGCATACATAACATGAATCGTGTTATCTGTGTTAATATCTATGAATTGTGTTTCAAGCAGGTCGGAATAGATACGTGTTTAATCGCATGATGCTCGTGAAACTTTTTTTTTTTTGCTATGCCATCCTTCTGCATCACTGCTACTCTTTTATCAAATCGGATTCTTATTGTTATTACCATATTCTTCTCTTTACAAGCTGCTGACTTATATTTCTTTGCATATAGTCTTTGTAAGACTTTCTCTTTGCTCCTTCCAGCTTCAATTAGCCTAATCTGCGTTGACTGTAGTCTGTACTTGTAGCAAGTCTTCCTACCTTCGGAAAACAGACATTCTGTGAGGAATTGTAAGTTGTTGAATTTACTCTAAATAATTATAGGCATGTGTCTCATGTCTAGGGCTCGGATTTCGGAACACACCGGCCTTCTTGTGCACTCCTCCGTCCGCCGGAGCTACGGTCTTCGAACGACGAGTGAATGAGGATGCCGGTTGTCCCTTGTCTCGGCTGGAGCGCAGGTTCTGGTCTGTGATCGCTGTCCGACCAGTGCAGTGCGTGGGCTGGGCTATCTGTAAGAATCTTGAGCTGGGCCAGGCTGGGCTACGCCGGGCATTCGTCTTGGAGTCCTGGGGGCTGGGGCTGTCTGGGATGATGCACTTACGGCCTAGGAAGGCGCATTCTAAGCTTGGTTGGTGCGTTGGTTGGCTTTGGCGCCATATCCGGTGGATCAAGTGCTAACCGGAACTCTCACGCTGTTCCAAGCGGCCAGGCAGCGGCAACGCCAAGTGCATTGCCCGGGAATCGAACCCGGATGGCTTATTCCTTGGCTTACCTATTCTAAGTTTCCATGACGCTTCATGTTTTGTATGTCTGATCCAGGTCTGCTGATCCAGTCTGATCTAATCGGTTTAGGACGCGGGACGCGATGCCCAAATGTCTAACTGCTTATTCTGGAAACCGAAAGCCCACCGATCTTCTTTGGTGAAATAGAGTTCTATGCCCTTGAGTGAGATGATGACATGTAGATCTACAGATCTGATAGGGACAGAAAACGTCTTGGTTGAGAACGAGTTGACATACATGCCAATTTTCCAGTTGTGATATTGGATTGCAGCCATACAGTTGTCTATTTAAGTATTCACCATACTTTCCTTACCACCCAGTTCGCTGCTGTCATGCATATGAGAACGTCAGCCGCGAGCGAACAATTTAGTAGCCGACAGTTTTCTGCTACGCGTTACAATTCTCGCGCATCTGGTTCAATTTATTTGTCAAGTCTTACCATTATAGAGTTCAGTGAGTCTTACTCAAGTGTTAAAAGTCGAGGTTAGGGTGGTTTTGCGTTGAATTTTCAATTTATATTTGATTGTGCTGCGTTGCATTGGGTCTGTTTTGGTAAGTTGACTTGTTACTTCAACTTGCTATGATTTGAGTTAATGACAGCTTGTCTACAAGATGAAAAAGCATTGTCACTAAGATCAGTAAGAAGTGTCATATTCTCTGGCCGATTAATTGGGTTCTTATTTAATTTCATGCTAGAGACTTTTTGTTTTCACTCTAAAATAACGATAATATATTGAGCAATGTGCTGACCTATTTTGGACAGAACTAAAAAGATGGTCAAAGAGGTAAATTAACATGCTCCTTAAAACATCTGCAGTGCACACCCCAAACTCTTAATTTATGTATTCTAGGTGGCCTGATGATTGTGCAATGCATGATGATATTGGTAATGCAATAAAAGTGACAAGAACTTGCATTTCTCTACTTTTAGTCAAAATATTTTGAAGGCACCAGCTCCAGTTTAAAAGTTTTGAGTTTTAAAGTTCAGTAGGCGGAACTATGGTCAAGCGTACCCATTTTCGGGAACGCATTTTCGTTCCCATGTTTGGGAACGATAAACCCAAATATGGGAACGCCATGTAGGCATTATTTAAAACAAGAAAAAGAACCGTTAAATGACGTCCAAAAAATATAAAACGATCGTGAACCGCCTGATCGTTGTCTCAATATTGTTGGGAAAGAGTTTGATATTGTAAGGCCCATCGTAGTTTCAAATCGTTCCCCTATTTCTAAAGCAGTCCATCACCCGGGCCGCGAGCCCAAATTTGGGAACGCTCTCGTACACTGGCGCTGCAAGCGTTCCTTATTATGGGAACGGCGTACCCAAAATTGGGAACGATTTCACCGACGCCTTTCAGGGGCTCTTTTCATTAACAAGCATCACGTCCAACGCCGCAAATTATTGGTAACGCAACAATCATCAGATGACCTTTCCGGCAAGACCGTTGCATGTTTCGCCCGGTCTTCTGCGCTTTTATTCCCGTCGATCTCGCAGCGGGCACGCCCCCCTCTGCAGGATTACGTAATCCACAACGCTCAGCGATGTTCAACAAGGTCTTCCATACCTATATCCACCGTCCGCGCCGAGGGTGGAGACATGTCAAGCACCTGTCTGCTAATCACCGAGAGTTGACGAGCACAAGAAGTATCCAAAAATGGGAACGCTGAATATGTTACACCCTCAAAACACCTAGTCCCAATGAAAATCTAGTTTTTTCCTTTCTTAATGAGTGAAAGTGGCAAAAGGCCTGGTAGGATGGGCACGAGGAATGATCGAAATCAGCATAAAAATTATAAATAAGCCACACAGAGCGACCTATATCAGAGAAATTCCCCCCAAACGATCATGCTTAGAAACGCCGAAGACAAAAACCACGCTCATGACGCTGCTTATAAAATAACGCTAAACAGCTAGCATCCAAATAAAATATGTCTTTCCGGGCTGATAAGATACAGCTGAATGATTTTAAACCACTGAAACTGAGTTTACAACAGTAGTTCGGTAAAATCACTGACGTTCCACGCGGTCGTGCGCCCCGACACCAAAAGTCAACAATATTACCTCGGGACTGTCCGCGTGTTCGCTTGCATATGTCAGCATCTGGTGTCGCTAGAATGAAACTTCATAACCAGGCGAAAATTATTATACTTGACCTCAAAATGTAAAAAATGCTTCATTTTCCTTTAAATTGCATGTTAAATGTCGTATAACCCATATTTCCACCATTCTGTCATTTTTAAAAAATCATTAAAAATATCATTCCACGGTCAATTTCCTTGTTCCACGGTCAGATTAAAGATAACTTTATGGAGATTTAGTAGATACTTAAATCAGCGTGCACTTTTTTGAGACGTGATGCACTTTTGAGTTTTAGTGGGCGAACGGCCGAAAAATTGCCTTCCGTTCTCATAAATGGGAACGCCCGTTCCCATATTTGGGAACTCCGTTCCCAAAAATGGGAACGTTCCTATATTTGGGTACTCATGACCATAGTTCCGCCTACTGAGTTATTTTTCTTGTTGAATGCAGTATTTAAAATTGTTTGAACCTATTTCAAAATTGCGGCTTTGTTCCCAACTAATGTTTCTAACTTACTTCTTATATTCTTAAATATGACCTGAATCTGGTTCCAAAATACAAACTGCGAAGCGAAGTGAAATGACCATGGCATGAGTTTTTTACTTTGCAACACAAGTATGCCAAATTGGAAAGAAACTATTTTCTTTTGCTATACCTACAATTGTACACAATTTACATAATGAATTTCGGGAACGGGTCCATCTGGTTCCAACGCTGACTTAGACCGGGTCTGACCGGTTCCAGAAATGTGCCAGTCAGACCGGGTCCGGGTCCGGGTCCCAAAATTTTCCAGTTTTGCCACCTCTATTTCTAACCTAAGCCCTGTGGATATTGTTCACTTTAAAATGAAATAGTTGGCTTAAACTATATCCTTTTGCTTGCATAAATATTGTGTTATTTCTTCATCATTTTCAGTTCTTTCAACATCCATTCTGGTGGTAGTCAACCTACAATTTTTAGGTATCCATGCACCATTAGAATCTAACCTGGACTGGTTCCGCCCCACAGGTGCCAATATGACTGTTGTTACCTCAGACAGCAAAGAGCCAACAATCAGTGGGACTGTGGCATCTGCAGCACAACAGTCAAACACTGAAAACCATGAGCTGTCAGAGGGAAATACTGAAGTTGTGCAGAACAATGCCACTTCTGTCAGCCAAGAGGCAAACACAGATGTCACTAAATCACCTGACCTTCCAGACCAATCACTAGCTCCTCAAGTACCAAATGATGTGACCAAGTTGTCTGACAGTGATAACCCTAGCTCAGAGACTGCTGCTGGGGGTAAATATGAGGACCATGAAGCTGCTGATGATGATCAAGAAACTGAGGACCCTGACGCCGCCTGGAAGGAGCAGAAGCGCCGCCTGCTGTTGACGCACCTCTCTGCCGAGCCCCCGGACGTGGAGGCGCTCCGGGCGGGAGCTGTGTCGCGCGGCGGCCTGCTGGACGACGCGCTGCGCCGGCGCGTCTGGCCGCTGCTGCTGCGCGCCGACCGGCCGGTGGACTGTGCGCCGGACGGCGAGATACCCCTGCTGACCGAGCAGGAGGTGCGCGCCCACCCCTACCACCATCAGGTGGTGCTAGACGTGGAGCGAACCCTCAAACGGTTCCCGCCCGGCATCGAGGACTCGGTGCGGTTCGGCATGCAGGAGAGCCTGGTGACGCTGATCGTGCGCTCGCTGGCCGCTCACCCGGAGCTGCACTACTACCAGGGCTACCACGACGTGGCCATCACCGTGCTGCTGGTCTGCGGCGAGCCGCTGGCGCTCGACGTCCTCTGCAAACTGGCCGGGCGCCACCTGAGTGTGTTCATGGCACCGAGCATGGACGAGACCCGTGACCTGCTGACGTACGTGCTGCCACTGCTGGAGGCCCGCGACCCGCCTGTCTGCGAGTTCCTGCTGCGATCCGAGGCGATGGCCACGTTCGCGCTCTCGTGGCTCATCACGTGGTTCAGTCACGTCCTTCCCGAGTTCTCGCTGATCACGCGTCTGTTTGACTACGTGCTGGCCACCAGCTGGCTGGCGCCCGTCTACCTGACGGCGGCTGTGGTGCTGCACCGGCGGGACGAGCTGCTGGCGGGCGAGTGTGACCTGGCGGCGGTGCACAGCCTGCTGGCCGACATCCCCGACCATCTGCCCTGGGAGGACCTCATGGAGAGCGCCACTCTGCTGCTGCGCGAGCTGCCGCCCGAGGCGCTCCGACCGCGGGTGGACGCGCTGAACCGCGCGCGCCGCCAGAGCGAGGAGGAGGAGCGCGAGCGGATGCGGCGCCGGCGGGCCGCGCTGCAGAGGCGGCGCATGGTCGAGTCATGGGTGCCGCCGCGCAACTGGACCGCTGTCGGACTGGCCATCAGTGTGGCGCTGCTGGCCGGCGCCGTCCACCTGTGGAGGGCCAAGATGGACTGACGGACCACTGGGCACGGCTGACCTGCAGTCGACTGTCCTGGGACGGCGGCCGTCCGACGGTGGATCCGTCAGCGGGCGGGGATGGTGAGTGGGGTACCCTACCGCCGTTAGTGGACCAGTGCCTAACGTTTCTGCCGTCTTGGGGGAAACGCAACTTTTCTGCGAGTCGGATTCTCAAGAGCGTTGTCTTTGTCGTCGATCGCTTGGGGACTGTGGTTTAGAGGTGTTGGCTGTTGTAAGCATTCTGTGGGACCTGTGATGGAGCAATGAGCATGCATTGTCTCGCTCCTATGTGTTGCATGGTATATGCTAGTGGAATTATCAAGTGCAATTCCTTATGCGAGCATTAAGAGGCGTAGTTGTCGAGGGCAAGCTTTCCGTAAGAGACCTACCTGCAAACGTTTCTAACAAGATTTTCAGTGTGTTGTTGTTTCTTTCGAATACGTTTATTTAAATTGAAAATTATTTCAGTTCTAGCTGTATTGTTCAGCTTAGACGTTTTCCTTTTAAGGAGAGTTCGGGCTTTCGTTGATAATTATTTGTCACTTGGTTTGCCTTATTGTGAAGGTACAAACAGCCAGTTCAGTTATGCTCACGTAGGTACCCTGTATACTCGTCATCAATCTCTGAGCTGCGACCAATGTGTTAGGGTCCTTGTGCAGTTTATACTTGCTCCCTTGAAGGGACACGTTTGTCATGACACCCTGTCCTGCTCTTCCGATGCGTACTTCCGTGAAGATGTAGGTATATTGCTTGGAGGAGATGTTGTTTTCCCGAGTTTTGCTTTGCGATTTAAATGTGTATCATCCAGCAGGGGAAATGTTAGCCAAATTATTACATGTGCTCTAGTCAAAGATACACACGACGCGACATCTTTTGGTTAGAATGGGTCCAGATTGTCGCTGTTATATATTTGGAGCCTGTTGAAGGTGAAATGTCTATATTGGGAGTCATGATTCCTTGAAAATATATTGTATTTATGGACTGTCGTTTCATGTTTCATTGGGGCTCACGTGACCCTCGACAGCGACGTGTGATAGGCAGCTTATAGGCAGCTTCGTTTGCATGTTGTGCCGTACCTTGTGACATGGTTCAAAATTAGCACTAGCTGAACTGGATTGTGCTACATCTTGTCAGAGTCTTGCGAAACCTTAGATTTTAAAAAGGGCTCATATGCTTGATTATTGATATGTGAAATGTGTCAACAAACTTTCGGGACACCCTATAGGCGGCGTGCGGGGGCAGGCACGGGAGAATGTGGGATGAACGCTAAAAGTGGGGCTGGAAGTGGCGCATCGGCAGTTACAGTGGTGCGTTATATAACCTTGGAGCTACATTACATCCACAGCAACACAGCGATATGTTCAATAAAACCAGCTTACCTGAGGGAGATGTGCCCGCACAAGTAACTAAACGTCAAGTTGTCTGCATGTTAACTCATAAACGTCTTGGTCAGTCACTCACTTGACCATGTATTTTCTTGACACTGAAATTACCCGACAAAATTACCCTCCACTCAAAAACGCGTCAGTAATCATATGCCTCTCTATATTTGGAGCCCGTCGGTCTCGTGCTTCCATCACTATTCTGGGTCGTGGCATTGGATCCACTCCGTCACGTGATGGCACCACGGAGAGCCTAGCCAGGGCCGGGCCCAGTCACATGACTGCGACCGGGTGGCCTTGACGGGCGCCACGTGGTGGGGCCGCACGTGTTTGGTGCACGTGAGAGGGACACCCCGGGGTGCAGGCAGGCCCGCAGGTGGCTGGAGTCGGGACGGGCTCGTGGGGTCGGGCCGGTCGGTGTAAATGTGAGACGGGACCGGAGAAGGAGCGGGAGGGCAGGGTGCTCCGTGCTTCTGGTTCCTGGGTGTCGGCGTTGTTTCTTCAGATGGTTAACGGATCCCTGGCCCAATCTTACCAAATGCCGTGAATGCGCATTCACGGCATTTGGTAACATTCAGAACTATTCCACAAGTCATTTATTCATTCGTTCAGGCAACATTCATAATCATTAACGCTACCAAAATCATCGGACAAGAGTAGCTGGGTGTAAATAAAAAGGATATCTTTGATATCAGTGCCGTTAACTCCGGCCAGTGCTGCCAAATCCTATTTACGGCATTGTTAAGATTGGGCCCCTGATTCAGATAGGTGGTTTGGGATGCTACAGGACCGGCATACTTCCCAAATAGGTTATCTAGTTTCCAAAGATTCCTCGGATCTCGCTTCCTTGTAATGCATTGCTGCGCAACTTAACGCTCGCCCGTATACGGGGGGGGGGGGGTCAAACGAACTCCCTTGGTTTTTCGCGAATGACTCGTGTAAAAAGCGGCCGATCACGACGAAACTTTCATTACCCTCGCGTTAATCAATTTTACACCCACCCTGAAAATTTCATCGCCCTGACCCAAAGGACCTTTGACCTGTGACCTACTTTTCGAGACCATGTTCGGTCGGAATCGCGATTCGGCGTATGTCGATCGCATTAGCCGCGCAGTCTTTTCGGCGTAGTTTTAAGCGTTCAAACACGTGATATGATGTTGCTCCCATGCATTAGGGTGGGTGTTAAGGTCACCTTAACCCGCGCCCGGCTGGGGGTCCTGGATTTCCACGCCCTGCTGGGGGGGGGGGGTGTTTGAACACCCCCCCTTCTAACTCGGCTCCTGGGCCACGTAGCGATACGCGGAAGGCGGCGTTCGAAAGAGCGTCAAAAATAATGAGGAAATCACTTCGGTCAATTTTTTGGTCAGGTCAAAGGTCAGGTCACCAGAGGTCATTGAAGGCAAATTTTCGCCGATTTCCAGGTCGAATGTCGAAAATTTCCAAGAAGCCAACGCATAACTCGGGAACCAATAGAGCTACAGCGCCGCGGAAAAGCGCATTCGATAGCCCTATTAACGCCCTTTCTGAATATTTTTCTCAGATTTGACCTAACGTCAACGGTTTTGCCTGCAGGGGGCAAAAACTGCAAAAATAGCCGATTTTTTCGGAAACAGTTTTTCTGCAATAACTTTTGACCCAAGCATTGTACGAGCTTACTTTTACCGGCATCGTGTTCCTCTCGTCAAGACGCATCGAACGAACTATAATTTGACCTTGAAAGGTCAACTTGAAAATTTGACCTCAGGTCAAGGTCATGACCTGACCGGAAAGGGTCATGTTGCATATCAGTCGATCCGTATCGTCGAGCTGAACACATCTAAGGCGTTTTCATCGCTCTAGCATGCCTCTATCAAAAGTTATTTGCGAAAAACTGTTAGATACCATTCGTGACCTAAGATGACCTCAGGGCATAAGCAGGGGTCACAGACACCATTTTCATGTTCAGTGTGTCTAAACCACTTGTAATTCAGTGGTTGGGAGTGTTTATAATGTCTTTCGTCCAAAACAGGCGCATTTCAATTTTCTCCCATTGACTTATAATGGTGAGGTCGCAAAATTGACCTGACCTTAGGTCATCGATATCAAAATTCTGAGATATACATTTTGTACATGCTAATGCTCTTAGCAATCGCTGAAAGTTTCAAAGCGATCGGTCACTCGGTGTAGCTATGACAGACATTGAAACTTTTTATGAGGTGAGGTCACTTCGAGTGACCTGGTGACCTGACCTTGAATGACCTTGGTCTGAAATTTTCACAACATGTGTAGAATTGATGTATGATAAGGTGTACCAAAAACGGCGGCGCTCCGCGCCGCCGTTTTTGAGATATTCGCGAAAAACCACAGGGGGGGGGGGGGTGTTCAAACACCCCCCCCCCAGCAGGGCGCGGGTTAAGCTCAGGTCAGGTCATTGACCTTTGGTGACGTCTGTTCACTTTCGAGTTTTACATGTTTTTAGGCTAGTCTTTTTTTTAGCTAAATTCGAATTTAGCAACCATTTGAACATTAACGAAGTACTATTGGTGCCTTCGTAACATGTTACGAAACTGTCAGAGACGGCTGATACCTTCTACGAATACCCGGCGGCCGGCAGGACACCTACTGGTTGACCTGACCTGACCTGACCTGACCCGACCTGGCCTAAATGCATGAAGACATCATCTGTGATCAAAGCTAACATGATATTCGTGATCAGCACCCCGAAATACCTCATAGCAGCTACACTTTACGAAGTTCTAACAGGTCCCGATTTTTCCGACTTTTGGGTCATTGGCCTGACCTGGAAGGTCAACCGATGACCTAGGACCTTAAAGTTGGGTATCGTCGGCTTCCTCTCGTCACGGGCAACACGCTCGTCTTTCTTTCCCGGGAAGCTCTAGCTCGATCAGGGGCGAAACGGCAAGGGGTGCCCCCCCCCCCCCCCCCTCCATACGTTCGCGGCTGGCAAAACACCAATACGGGCGAGGTTAAATCAAGCTCCCCAAAATCAGATGTTAGTGAATTGTTCCGTGCGAAGAACACGCAAACTTTCAGTTTCGGACGCTACAACTGATGGGCTATTCTCTAAAAGGTCTTCTGGGTCCGCTAATGCTGCATTTGGTGTTATTTGGTGAATAGATTTGGTGACGTGTGATATTTGTAGTAGATCAGGATACTTGGTGAGTTGTAGGTGCCTAACCTTTTGACCATTGTTTCGCTTTATTTTGAAATAGATATTTCCATACTAATAAGTGATGGAAGATCATTATAATACCCATCTGTGATCTGACGGCATTACAACTATAACCGTTGAAATCTAATTTCCATCGAGAAACTGAGACTCACGGAACCATCTCCGATCAGTGTGAGGCAAATGAATTGTACAGTTTTATTTTCAAAAATGTTGTTCAGCTTTCGAGACATATTACTTATTAGACATTTAAACGTTCTTATTCTGTTGCTTACCCGAGCTTCCTCGATTCTTTGGCTATAGTGAAGCCTGCGTGACAAACTCGCTTAGCATATGATTTAGCTTCGGGAATCCATTCATTCAAAGCATTTGGAAGTGAAACGAAAAACACATGGCAATAAAACTGATGAGATCTCGTCTTTAATTCATGATTGGCGTCTGGCCCTAGACAGAGACATCAGCAGCGGCCGTTTAAAACACACCCACTCTTCGCCGGCTCCCGGAACAAGCTTCTATTCACGAGGAACATAACAGAGCACCAGGGCCCGCGGCCGAATACCGGCGCCCGGCCAGCCGCAAAAACGGCCTCGATCATGAGGCGGCCATGCTGGAGGAGCGTGGTGCCGCCGCCGCCGCGTCCAGCGCCCGCGGCGGCTAGCCCGGCCACCGAGCGTGGCCGCGGGCTGCTGCCGCCGCGCTCCGAGCTGAGCTGAGGAGGCCGGCGCGGGCCGGGTCGGGCCGGGGCGCGCCAGGTCGGCTCGTCCTCTAGGTGCCCTTGCCGGGGGCTCGGTGCCGGGCCGGCCGGCCTCCCGTCGCGGCCGATCCATCTGCGCCGGCCGGCCGGCCGCATCAGGTGGCTGTTCGGGCCGGCGAGCGGCGCGCCAGAGTCCCAGTCTGCCCGTTTGGGTCGGGGCTGCCCTGTCGTAACTGACGGACGCGTCCGCAGGGCCGCGGCGTGTCGTAAATGTGCTGCTCGGCTGGCGGCTGGTATCGCTCATGGTGCACGCTGCTCGCGGTAATTGAGGCAGCTTGGGTGCCAACTGATAGGCTGCCAGCTGCACATATCAATCGTTCCTGTTGTGGCTATTGGTTGCAATGCCTGCTCCACGTTAATTTGATATTAGTTAAGGGTACCTATGTTACCTATTATTCCGGGTATCATCATCATGCAGGGCGATCTACATTTAGGCCTGAATGGCCAGGGTAATGTATAGGTTGTTTTGAACGGCGCTTATCCCTCTCCCCGGCCATTTTTCACCTCTCCATTGCACTTGGCTTCCTTACATACCTACGCACGTCACGCTGAGAAGTGTGTTTTCTTGTAAATTATGATCTCGCGGCTGTTGTTTGAGGCGGGAAGCGCCCTTTGCCTCTGTTGGACTGACCTGAAAGAGAAGATTCAGGAGCTGACACTTTTTGCTCTTGTTTTGACGTA